TCCAACCTCATCACGGGGACCAGTGTTTTTCTTTCTTTCTTTTTTTAAAGATTTTATTTATTGGGGCGCCTGGGTGGCTCAGTCCGTTGAGTGACTGCCTTCGGCTCAGGTCATGATCCTGGAGTCCCGGGATCGAGTCCCGCATCGGGCTCCCTGCTCGGCGGGGAGTCTGCTTCTCCCTCTGACCCTCTCCCCTCTCGCGCTCTCTCTCTACCTCATTCTCTCTCAAATAAATAAATAAATAAAATCTTTAAAGATTTTTAAAGAGAGATGAGGGTCAGAGGGAGAAGCAGACTCCCCGCCGAGCAGGGAGCCCGATGCGGGACTCGATCCCGGGACTCCAGGATCATGACCTGAGCCGAAGGCAGTCGCTCAACCGAATGAGCCACCCAGGAGCCCGGGACCAGTGTTTTTCTAACTAAGGGTTTCAAACCAACAAGTTATAAAATCAACTTGGTGGTTTACCCCGAGAATTTCTTCAACTTTTGTATTGTGGTAAAATATACATAACAGAAATTTACTGTTTAAACTATTTTTAAGTCTACAGTTCAGTGGCATTAAGTGTAGTCAATCCATTATGCAGCCATCACCACCATCCGTCTCCAAGACGTTTTCATCTTCCCGAACTGAAACTCTGTCCCCATTAAACACTAACCTCCCACCCTACCTCCAGCCCCTGGCAACCACCATTCTACTTTCTGTCCCTATGAACTGATTAATCCAGGTGCCTCATGTAAGTAGAACCATAGAATATCCGTCATTTTGTGTCCGGTTTATTGTAGCATAATGTCTTCAGCATTCATCCATGTTGAGAAAAAAAAAGATTCATCCATGTTATGTATCAGATTTCCCTTCCTTTTTAAGGCTGAATTTATTTTGTAAATTAAGTGGAATAGAAAATATTAAAAGCACATTTCTTATAATAAGGCCAAACACTGTTTCACAAAATGGCTGTTTCAGATGTGTATGTGAGTGTGTTCTAGATCCCTGGGTATAACACAGTTCTTACTGTGCCTGTTTCAGATGTGTATGAGTGTGTTCTAGATCCCTGGGTATAACACAGTTCTTACTGTGGCTAACAATTATAAAAGTTGGGAAAACACTGATTTTGATGGTAACTAAATAATCTGCATTGCTAGCCTGGCTCTTCTCCGCCCACAGTTCCAGAGCTCATTTGCAAGGAGCTGCTGGATAGCTCCATGTGGATCTCCTTGCAGTGAGTGTCCTAACAGATCCAGACTTAAATTTGTTACCCTCTTCCCTCCAGACATGCTTCTTCTCACACATTTCCTACTCGATTCTCCATAATCAGGCCCTGCCTGCCTCACCTTGCCCCCAGCTACACAGCTGTGATATCTGAGTCATGCAGAATTACTTAGCTCTCCCCTGCACTTTGCTATCTTTATTCAAGCTGGCTTTCATCCCCTTTCCTTCCTCCTCCCCCATGCCTACGGATCATTTTCTTTTCTTCAAGACCCCCTTCAAATGCCTCCATGCACCTTGAAGCCATCCTGATCCACTACGGCTCCCTCCTCATTTCTGGAAGCTCTTGCTCACACCTCCAATTTGGCTTACGTACGTATTACGTGCCTTTCTGTCTTCCTAATAGACTGCAAGCTCCCCGGAGACCGTGGACTGTGTCCGCCTGCCACACGACTCTCCTCAGCACTTAGCGTGGTGTTCAGCATAGAGCAAATCTTCATTAAGTATGTGTTCAACAAAGCGCAGGTAGGAGGAAGCCAAGAACATCAACAGCAAACTTCGCAGCTTTGTCTCATGCTCTCTCTTCCCAGTCCAGAGTGTGCACATTCTCCACAGACACTATGCCCCCTGAGCCATCTGCACTGCCCACCTTCTCCCCTTCTGAGCACCGGAGGTGTTTGCAAGATGGGCCCCCAGAGTCCTGATCGCTCCAACGGGCACCCCCACAAGTGGCCACAGCACAGCACAGGCAGAGACCAGGGGCCAAGGAAAGAACACATACCAACTCACATCCCCCACTCCCTTCTGGTGAAGTCTGTCCTGAATTCTCACTGAAATAGCTTGTCACCTTTGCGCCCCTGAGCTCTTTGTAAGGTGGGAAACAATGGAGGCTTTGCTGAATACATCATCAGCCCAGCTCAGAACGGAAACGAAGAATGGCAGCCTTCAGGAACCCCCAACGTCCAAAGTGGATCTGCCCTCCACACCAGATTCTCCTCACTTTGTACCAGGCTGTAACAAGAGCCTCCCAGCCTCTCCCCATCGCTAACCTCTCCTTACAAAGCCCAAATAACCTTCCATCCCCGGAGGCTTTTATCATATCATTACCCTGCTCAAAGACCACATGTGGCTCCCTATGACTCAATGAACCCAGTTCAACCTGTCCTTCCCCATCCACAAAGCACCTCACTAAAGCTACTCACCCAACATTCCATCTGCCCCCATTCTCCACGTTCTCCCTTATACCAGTTGGATCCATTTCTTCACTGTGTCTTCCAGTTACGCTGGGCGCACGTGGGCACACGCACACATACACACACACCACTTTTAATCATTTCTTCATTATCCAATATTTATTGAGAGCTTACTACATGCCAGGCATCATATTTGGTGCTCAGGGTGCAGGTGGCACCAAAATAGAGTGAATCCCTGCCTCCTGGAGCTTTCGGTCCAGAGCAGGGTTTCTCCACTTCAGCCCTATTGATATTTAGGGCTGGATAACGCTTTCCTGTGGGAAGCAGATGGTGCACTGTGCAATCTTCAGCAGCATCCCTGGCCTCTATCCATAAGACACCAGTAGCACTCCTCTCCCAGTGTGACAACCAAAAATGTTTCCAGATATCGCCTGGGGGTAACATTGTTCTCCCTTGAGAACTGTGGGTCTAGAGCAGCAGGGGGAGCTTGTTAGGAACCATGTGGGCACCTGGTAACAAGCACGTACTGGATCTATCCCCAGACCGTCCAATTCTGAGCCCAAGCATCTGCATATCAGTGGCCCTGCAGGCGATTCTCATGAGGCTATCCCAAGATCTCTGCTTGGGGAACACTCAAGTGTGAGGTATTTCTAGACAGGACACAGACCAATAATCACATCAAGTCAGTTCATTATGATTGTATGTATACGAAACAAGACAGGTGAATGCATGAGTGGGTAGTCTGGGCATGGGAGGGGGAAAGGAGGTGGTGCCCCATCTCTGCACCTTTGCTCACACACTCTTCAGTTCACACGTTCCCCGCACACACACCCATTTAAATCTCACCCTTCCTTCAAGGGCCCACTCAGGTTCTACCTCCTCCAGGCAGTCTTCCCTAACTACTCCAGCCCATTGGTACCTCCTTCCTCAGACAAGTTAACACTTACTACTTAACTATCTCCTCTGCAGTCATTCTGTTTCCCCAAAGAGATCTCAAGCCTCCTGAACACCAGGACCACATCATCTGCCTCCTCACAGACCCCCACAGCAACTTTCCAGGATCAAGTATAGGCCAGTTCTGCTTGCTTGACTGGATTAACCCACGTCCCTAGAGTGAGGCCTGAGAGGAGTCACCTGAGATTCAGGGAGTCAGGATCTATATGTGAGGGAGGATGGGAGGCAACTTGCATGCCCGCTGAACTCTGGGCAGCTCGCACATCCACGCAAGACCAGGGAGGGCTTGCTAGAGCAAAGCAGTTAGTAGATGAGCTGGCGCTGAGCATGGGTACTGATGTTTTCCCACTGTTGACAAGGCAGCAGGGACCCCAACAGCCCCAGCAGTGCTGAGTAGGTGCCAACAGGGTGCAGGAACCCAGAGTCACCTGCTGAGGAGGTAACGAGTGCAGCAGGTGGAAGCCAGCAGGGGCCCAGCAGTCCTTGCATGGGGTTATCTTGGAGGCACGGCAGTAGCCAGAAGGGGAGGCAGACCCAAGCCAGCCAGGAGACCCCAAAAATGTCCTTTAAAGCCACCAGCACCATGCAAAGCTCATCAGCTGCCCTCCCCCAGGGAAGAATGCTGTCTGGGGAGGTCAGGGGCTGTGGCTGGCTAAAAATCAAATGTTCCAGGCAAGGGGCCTCATACTCCCCAGCTCTGGGGGGGGGGAGGGAAGGGGGGAAAGGGAAGTAGCCTAACTGCAGCAAAGAACAAACCTCCAGGCAGAAGGAGAGATAAGCTATTTCCGAAAGGGGCTCTGAGGTGGGAGTATCCTGCGGTAACCGCTATCCCCAAGCTCTGAAACGGGCAGAGTACCCCGAAGCGTCTCTCCTCGCCAGGAGAACAAAACAGCTGGGATTTTCGCATACACAGGGACCCGGGCTGTGACAGCTCCAACTGCTCCTTCTTCCAACAGAGTTGGCGGTGGATGGGGGCGGGGGGGGGGTGGTGGTGGAGGAAGAGAGCCCAACGAGGGGAGAGTTAACTCCTGCTGCAGCTCTGACCTTCTGGGTAAGCATGAGAGAGAACCATCTGTTTCAGGACGGATCAGGTTGTGAGTTTCACACATCCAGTGGTTACTGGTTCATGAAAATTGACGATCCCTGTCGCAGTCCCAGCCCACTATCACTCCCCACCTAACCTGGCGCTCCTGGGGTTGGGGGGATGCTTTTCCCCCAAGAGCCCCCACAGGAGTTCAGAACTCACAGGGTAATCCTATCCGGTTTTGAGCCCTCCACTCCCGGAAGCCTCCCCTCCAACCAAACGGCCATGGTACTGTAGATCTGGGGGACACCCATCTGACCCCTGTGGCCCCTCGGGGCGTTCAGATGGATTTGTCATCAGCGTGGCCGCTCGGAATTCCAAGCCGTCCCTCATTTTCACAAGAGAACAAAGTTGTCGGGCCCCTCCGGCCCACGCAGGGCAGGCTCTCTGCTGCCGCTGGGAGGAGAGATGCGCTTCGGAGGGCCAGGACCCAAACCTAACGCGGCGGTGCTCGCGGCCAAAGTGCCGACCCCGGGGTCACTCACTCCGGGGACGACGCTGCGGCCGCCACCTGGGGGCTCGCCCGCGAGCTCCGTGCACCCCCACCCGCGCTCGGACTTTCTTACCTCTTGATGTAGTTTCTGCCGTACAAGATCTGTTGCAGCAAGGTCACCAAGGCGAAGGCGCAGATGAAAATGAAGAGTAAAGTTCGGTTCCCCAACAAATCCCGGTTCGCCGAGGGGTCTGCGTAGCGCATCCTGGCGGCCGCACGCGCACGGCGGGGCGCGGCGGGCGCCGGACGCCGGGGGGCCCCCGCAATCACGCGCGGGGTTTCGGGGCCCCGGCGGGGCGCGCGGTCGACCAGGCGCCTCTAGGCGCTGTTAGGCGGGCGGGGGACTTGGCGGGGCAAAGTTTCCGCCTGGCGGGGCGGGCGCAGGGCATCCGAGCGTGGCCGGCGCCGGAGCGGCGGGCAGGGCAGACCCGGTGGCCGAGAGCTCGGCCGCGACCCCGGGCCTTCCCTCCGGACGCCTTTACCTCCGGGCGCCCGTGCCCGGCAGCCGCCGATTTCCCTGCGGAGAGGCGACTCCAGGTGCCCCAGGCCCGGGGCGGCCCCTCCCCGCCGAGGTGATGACCAATGGGGAGTCGGGCCCGGGCGCCGTCCGCCCGAGCAGCAGAGAGCGCGGCGCACCGCCCCCTCCGGTCGGGCGCCGGATCGCGGTCGCCCAGCGCGGTACCCGGCCGCGGGCGGGCCACGTCCGATCCTCGGGCCCGCAGCGAGGCAGCGCGAAGGTTGGCCTTCAGTTCTGCAGATGGGAGGTGGGGGGACCAAACACCCGGACAGGCTGGCGAATGCCTGGCGGGCGGTGGAGAGGGGGAGGGGTGGAGCGGAAAACGCCGGGTTTGAATCGTGGAATTAAAAAAGGGGGCAGGAAGGGGAAGCCACGGCTGCGGAGCTGGGCATGCTGGAAGGGAGCGTTTGCTTGCGGCGCGCAGGGCACTGAGTCACCGCGGTGACCGCGTCCTCGCGCTCGGGAGATTTCTCCGGAGAAAGCGGAGCAAGGTCAGCGGGCAACCCTTCAAGGACGGCGCGCGCGGCTCCTGCATGCTGATGGCCTGCGGGGCTGCCCGCCTGCGCCCCGGGCACCCAACTCCTGCAGGGAGAAAATCCAGAGGCTCTACACCCCGACCCTAGGCCTCCTCCCTTTCCCCAGCTGCAGCCCGCGGCTGTTCGTCAAAGACCTTGTTGTCACCGAGACACTGGGACCTTGTCTCATCCTTGGAGCCGCTCATAAATCTTAGGTCAGGCGGCCGGCCGCCTTAGGGTACCACGGTCCCCAAAAGCTTTAGTAAGTCAGCAAGTCTGGAAAGGTTTGTGCTTCAGAGGGCACGCCAGGGAAAATAAACACAGAAGTCGCGCCTCTTCAGAAATCCAAGTCCCTAAATGTGCTCCCCTTTTCCTAAACCCCCACTCTGAAAGCCAGGTGCCAGCCCTGTCATCCTGACACCGCAGTCTCCCGAGGCCTGGAGAGTCACGTGCCAGCGGCGTTCGCCATGGAGCCCTCGCTGGATGATTTCTGGGCGCCCCTTCCCAGGGCCCCACAACCGCTGGGAAGGTTCTGGAGTCCGGGCAAGGATTCGGCTCCCAACTAGACTGAAACTCTAATCGCAGCAAGAAAAAGTGACTTTGATGAGGAAGCGTCCAGACTCCAATGCTCTGGCCTTACCCTTTAGTAGTTTGCTCTTCGAGCTGGAAAGACCAAGAACAGGGAGGCAAATCTCATGATTAGGGATTCACCAATAAGCTTGGAATTCGTGTTAATGCACAAGGTGGCAGTGGACCCTGTCCTATCTGTAAAGAGTTTATGTACCAAAATATCTATGAGGTCAATTAAAGAAAGAACACATAAACATTTAGATGGCCCATTCAATCCCTATATTTATTTGGTGTCTTACACATCAAAAAGTGCTTGCTCTTGCATATATTAATTGAATTAGCGCCTGCTAGCCTCTAGCTAACCCACTTTACAATCAAAAGGACCAAAGCTCTGGTTGGCCAAAGTAACTCACCTAGCAAGAAGTGTTTGGAATGGGAGATGTGGCATTTTCCCCCAGAGAGGCAGGGCTGGCTTCACGGGTAGGGGACCAGTGCCCCACCCGCACCCCTACCCTTGGCTTAATGTTCCACTCTTGCTGTCTTTAACTTCCTAATAATTTTTGAACTAGGGGCGCCTGGGTGGCTCAGTCGGTTGAGCGGCTGCCTTCAGCTCAGGTCATGATCCCAGGGTCCTGGGATCGAGCCCCGCATCGGGCTCCTTGCTCAGCGGGGAGCCTGCTTCTCCCCTGCTTGCCACTCCCCCTGCTTGGGCTTGCTCTCTCCTCCTCTCTCTGTGTCAAATAAATACATTAAATAAAATCTTTAAAAAAATAATAATTTTTGAACTAGGAGGCCCTGCATTTTGCTTTGCCCTGGACCACACACATTATGTGGTGGGTCCTGCACAGCGGTCCAAGTTGACAGAGTCTAATTTTTCACTTCTTTGGTCCTCCCCTGCAGAGGTCATGAGGTACCATCCCCATCACTGCTGGGGAAGCACTCTCATTTCCTTTCTTTTCCTGCTGATTCCCCACCCCCATCAAGTACCCTCTCTGATAGCTGTCTTTGAACGCATAGTGCCTTGGAAAAACAAAACGAATCTATTTTAAAATAAGAAATCTAAATTATTCTAAAAACGTACAGCTTGCTGAGTTTCCACAAGCTGAACACACTCATGTAACCAGCACACAGATCAAGAAACAAAAACATTATCAGTACCCCCCCCCTCCCCGCCGCAAGACCCCTCTCCGGATCCTTTCCAGTTACTATGTACTCAAGAGTAACCATTATTCTGACTTCTAACCCCAAAGATCAGTGCTTCCTGTTCTTGCATTTTATACAAACAGAATCATACCTTATATATTCTTTCATGTCTGATTTCTTTCGCTCACCATCAGTTGGAAGGTCCCTCCATGTCGTTGTGTATGGTAGGAAGAATTCTAAGATTCTTAGAGAAACCCCTGAGATTCCTCATCCTCTCTGGTACTCGCACTTTCTCCCAGTTATTCAATCGACCATCAGTCTAGGTGCTGCTGTAAAGGGATGGTGGGATGTAATTAAGGCCCAAATCAGTTGGCTTTAAGGGAGACTATTCTCAGTGGGACTGATCACATGAGCCTTTACAAGGGACTAAGCTCTTCCTGGTGACAGAGATTTTGAAGCATGAGACAGATGGACTCGAGGGAAGCTCTTCACTGTTGGCTTTGGTGACAGAGGGTTCCACATGGCAAGAGCTCTTGACGGCCTCTGAGAGCCAAGACTGGCTCCTGGCTCACAGGCCACAAGGAAATGGGGGACGTCAGTCCTCCAATCACAAGAAAGACCCTGAATTCCGCCACAACCTGAATGAACTGGGAAGAGGGTCCTGAGCTCCTGGCCTGTGAGGCCCTCCGAGGAGAAGCGAGATTTAAGACCTACACCACTGTGAGCTGGTAAAAGCCTATGTTGTTTTCAGCCACTGAATTGGTTTGGCCATGTTTCCCAGTGCCAGAAAACGAATACTTCACATACTATGGTTTAGAGAGTTTACAGATACCATTCTAGTCTGTTCGATCTTATTTCTGTATCGTATGTCATGGCTGGACTGTGACACAGCCTACTTACCCACTGTACTGTTGACGGACCCCCGGAGAGCTGCCCCCATGAGCCTTCCCGTGTGCGTCTTTCGGTGAATACACGCATGCTTGTCGTGGGTAGCTGTATTTAGAAGTGAAATTGCTGGGTCACAGAAGGCTCAGCTTTAGTGATTCCTTCCTTCCAGTTTTCCAAAGGGCCAGGTTTTTCTTTTCATAGGTATTTGATTCAAACCTGCCATGACCTAATGGGAATTGGTCCACACCCCAGCTGATGCTAACAATAACCGGCTAATCTAATAGCGAAAACCCCACCGAGCTAAGAGCCAAAAGAGTCCAGAGAAAGGAATTACTTAATGCTGGGTGCGGACTCTCCCTGATGGCCAGGTGGCCTGCAGGAATCTGCAGTGAGGGCTGATGCCGACTTTGGCCACAGCTGGGAACTCTGGGGTAGTCTTCTATGTGCAATGTGTTTGGATCACTTGATACCGTGCAAACGATCAGCAATAGTCCAGCGCACCTCTGCTGACAGGGCTCTCCTAATCCTAACAGCGTCTTAAATCCGACCATCTTGGTATCAAGTTGGGAGGTACCTTTAACATACACTCAGATACAAGCGTCGGCGGTGGAGTCAAAGACCAAAGATCTTGAAACAAGGAGGTCCGCAGTCCCTGTTGTTGCTATTAATATATGGATCTAGGTTCCATTTTAAGCCAAATCTATATTCTGATTGTGGAATTGCACCAAACACTCGGAAGGCCTTGCAAACAAAAGAGTAAACACATGGATAGCTGATCACTATGCCAGATTCAGTGAACACCATTTTTATATCCTAATTGCCAGCAATGGGGACAGCTGCATCATTGTTTAAAACACACACGCACGCACAATTAAGCCAAGAACAAATGTCAACACTGGCACAATCTGCTAAATTACTGATAACTGATGGGCATTACTCATGCTGTGAGCATTGTCTCCAGTAGGAAACGGAAAGATTCCTTTTTTTAAAAGAAGACCTTAGAGATTTCTGCTGGTTTAAGAAAGCCAGGGTTTGTAACATTACGGCACAACTGCAACCTGCCAGGTTATGTAAGTGACATTCCACCCATGTGTTCACGGAGTTTGTGATAAGTACATGCTGTTCTTATGCCTCTTTATATTTGTGTTAACAAGGCAGGCTCCAAGAGGCTGATTCCTGATGTGGGGACACTTTGTCTGTGCTGAGGGTGTCTTGCAGCCACTGAGCAAAAGTGCCCAGTGATAATCTCGGAATCTAGAGAGCTGGGGTTCACCATTGCTCGGTCAGCTGCAGACACTGGAGCCTACTGGTTTTTATTAAGTTATTATTATAGAATAGCACTAGAATTTAAAATCTGTGCTCAGTTCCCTTACAATGTACGAGGTGTGTTCAGAATAACGTATTAAATAATCCTGAACAAGGCTATGAAGTCACATTATGGCCTTCACATCTCCAACCTGAGAGACACTTCCTTTGGTCCTAGCACCACCCCCTGGGGATTCCTCTGCTGTATCTGCCCTGATGGGTCCAGTCTGTTTCCAAAGGCAGAGACAGGCTTCTTGGTATTAATA